CTAATAAATTGACTGAAGAAGAAGCCTACTACTTTTTATACGATAAAACAAACGTTTTTTTTTTTAAATGACATTAGCAAGTCAATTCAAGCCACTTTTACTTATAATGTTTTAAACAAAACAGATTGTTTCAAAGCACACAGCTTTACCGTAGTTCTGTACCGCAGGTCTAAAAAGAAAAGTGTCACTGTTCAGTCTTGATTCAGTTCCGTTGTAAAGAGCTCAAGATAAGGGTCATGATCCATGTAGGGGGAAAAAACGGCACCTTTAAGTTTCATGTCATGTTACATTGATATGGTTGACAACTTTTGAAGCAGCTTTTTTATTTGAGTACTTCATTTAGCCTTAATAGTCCTGCAGTGTGACTAATCATTTTTTTTAAATGTCCCAGATCACTCTCACTTATATTTTAGGTAATTTAAACTGCATATACAAGAATAAAATTATTAATTGAAAAAGAATTTGAAATTGAGTTTAGCATGGATGTCACACTGCTGGACACTGCTTGAAATGTCACGTCAACTATGTCAAAAAATACTATATATTATCATCATACACCATCACTGTCTTACAGTATCACTAAATTCAGTTGTTAATGAGAGAATGCAGAATAAAGACATATTTTTTTCCCCTGGTGCACAAAAGGAGACTGTGCAGAACACAACCTGTGGGGTTTCACACAGTATTGAACACCCACACCAGTATGTGGCGTCCCACAATCATTCTGTAAAACCTGCTGCTGAAAAGTGCAAAGTAATTAAGCTTTTACATCTAAATGACTTTTCTATTGGGGCTCTTAACACATCTGGCCTCTCAGCATGTTATATTAATCTTTTTCTTTCAGCATTTGTGTTTGGTGCCTGGCTCCAAAAAAAACAGTGAGATTAATGTGGTTACCATGCCAACACAAACCTTTTTTTTTATTATCTTTTTTAGAGAGATAGCCCACTGTTGCCTTGGAGACAAAAGTCCACAGAAATTGGTGTACAATTTCTGTATTAGATGTATTACTGTATTATTGTATTAGGTAATGCTCTTTTGGCATCATTTATATCTCGATGAGTTCTTCTCGGACGAAGTTGCATCTGTTTCAATTGCTTTCAAGGAAGTGGAAGGATCCTGAACTAGAGATTGCAACAACATTGTTTCTGGAGCAGCAATGTGAGCTTCATAAGTCTTACTTGAGTAAACACTCGTGTGTTTTTGTGTCTTAATCAACCTTTTCCACACACATATAAATTTTAACTTGTACTCGTCGCTCTGTCCATTTCAGCAAAATGATGTTTTGTGAAGGCCTCTCCTGTTGTTTTGTTTCAACACGCGCGTGCACCCCCTGCTGGTAAAGCCGACTAACAGCAGATGGAGAGTATGCTCGGTAATCTATTGCTTTTCCTGCAGTTCCTGGACGCCACTGTTGAATTTACTGTCGAATTTGAACCACTGAATTTGAAAAAAATAAAATAAATAATAATAATAATAATAAAAAAGAACCACTGAATTTGTGGAAGCGAATTTTCAAGGCGAAATAAAATGGACCGAAAAATTGCCTGTTTAATATTATAAGTTGTATTTTTAAACAGTCTGAAAATTTTGGAAGTGAAATATGAAAGGTGAATATGGATTATTGAATTTTTAAACATGAAAATGTGTTTGAAATGTTTTTAAATGAAATATTCACAGCTTAAATTTTTAAGGCCCATAAGCCTTAAAAATAAAATGGATTAAAATGCAATGCATTTTTTTCAGTTGGTGCATTCAACATGCTTTTTGTTTCAAAAATATTTGACATTATTTTACTTCCATACGTAACAGTGATAATAAGTTAAATATAGCTGTACTGCTTAATATTTATGTGGAAAACATTCAAAATGACTTATTGTCAATTAAAATAAAAAAATCAATTTAATGTCCTTCCCAAATAAAAACGTCACTGTCAACAAACTTTTGAACAATAGTGTGTTCTAAATAAAATTAACCTTTACGAGGACACCGTAAAACACTCAGGTGGACTTCGACTAATACACTTTTCAGCTAATAAACTTTTATTTGTGGTTTTAAATGAAACAGAGCATATCAGAAAGAAAGTCACTTTTATTTAATGGATATAAACAAGCCGACTGACACTCAAGAATAGTTGGGGGATACAACACATACAATAGCAAATATCAGGGAGGTTAAGGACTCTGAGTAAAGCCCAACAGGGTTTAAAAACATCGAACATGACACAGATTTCACACCGAACGCCTCCGAGGCTCTTGCACCGCTAACCATCTGCAACACACACTCAGCCACTCACTCACACCCTGGAACAATCTTATTTGCATACACAGACAATCATGCAAGCATATCCCACACTCTTTTAGCGTCTCAGATCTGCTCCCCGAAAACATGCGAACGCTTTTATTTTGTTGCACGGGCAAACCACTGGCAGTGGGCGGGAAGATGTGGGTGAGGACACACCATTCTCAAACACATTACACCATTATGATGCCAATGCGTCTCATCGGTGACGACTGATGATGCACCATGGACAAATGAACCCCACGTTCACACGGTATCATTCAGCATGCTGACACTCACATTGGACTGCTGTACAGAAAAAAAATAAAAGCAATGTACAAATCTTACAGTTCCAAACTGACATATTCAAAAGAAGAAGAAAAAAAGCATGAACCATAAAAAAAGCATAACATAAATAAACATCTTAAAAAAGTAAAAACAATGTTTCTTAGATTTACTATTTCTTTTCTGGCATTTGTCACAGTGGTTTGTTATTATCCAGAGGTTTGCATTTTTTTTTTGACATCATGAAATAAAAACAAACAATGCAACTGGCACACAACAAATATAAATATAATCATTTATGTTCTCTTTATTTTGGACCTTCAAACCAGAGGCCCTTTGGATGATATACGTCTTGAGCCTACAGGGCTGAAACTTCTTTCTTTCGATATTTATTTCTGCGTATAGAGATCTATTAGACCTGTCTTCACCACAGCCCAGAGTTGGCACATAATGTACATAATCATGCATCATCACCACATGAGTCAACATTTCTCTTTTTTCTTTGTTCTGTATAATATATCTCTTCCCAAGGCAGGAGATCACCCCCCTACTTCAAGTATTCAGTAGTAAAAGGTCCTGAAGGTGGAGGACTGCAATATGTCTCCAAGAAGGTAAAGTCTGATGTCTTTTTATTTATTTTTTTGTCCTCTTGCTTTGTCTAATAGTACAATTATAGACTTGCACGACAGACAGACACACACATAAATATTAGAATATCAGCTCAAACACTTTTCTGGTGTTTGAAACTGGACTCAGAAACATCCAAGACGGAGCAGTATTCACATGGTGGACATATGATCTGTGTTCTTTAACCACAATAGAGCAACGTAGGAATATTCTAGAGCCGAACGACAATGATGCGTTCACATCATGACAGAATTACCGGGAATTCTCCGACTAGCTCATTGTGACGTGTTCATCAACTCAACAATTACCTTTAGCTTACCATTAAGCTACATATAGTTTAATGGCATTTTAAGTTGCACAACGCACTTTCTTTGTTCCTCAAGGTTTGAGCGTTGGCATAAAAATGAATTTCCGAGCCTAAAGAATCTCTGAATATTTTAATTGCGGTAATTCCGGCAGAACGTGAACGCAGATTGTGTTTCCGGAACGTTCCAGAACAGAGACACGTGACGATCTGGAACTGACGTGAACGCGTCTGAAAATTGAGTATGGTAAACGCAATGTGGAAACACAAACAGGTAATTTTAACAGTCAGATCTTGGCTATATTTTGGGCTTCGCCAAAGTCCTAATGTAAACTCCACAACTACAGACAACAGCAGTGAAATGACACATAAGACAATGCAAAACAACTGTTCACATATCTCAGCCATCTTAAAACAATCTTCCACTTGAATATTTTGATGTTTCTTAAAGAAAAAGTTCACCCCAAAATTAAAATTGAACAATCATTTGTTCACCCTCATGTCATTCCAAACCTGTATGACTTTCCCAGATAGCAAACTGACATTGAATCAACGTGGAAATATGACATCGAAACAACGTTGATCTGACATTGTTTTGCTCATCGAATTAACGTTGAACCAACGTCAGATGCGTCATTCTTTCAAAACTAACGGAAAATCAACTTGAAATCAATGCGTTGTTTCAACGTTATGAAAGCAAACCAATTTTCGATTTCATTTAGCTTTGAAGAATGCCGCGTCTGACGTTGGTTCAACGTTAAATCGATAAGCAAATCAACGTTGTTTCAATGTCATGAGAGACGTCGTTTCCACGTTGATTCATTGTCAGTTTGCTGTCTGGGTTCTCTCTTATCTGGAACAAAAAGACATTTTGAACTTGAAGACTGTTGGTAACCAAACATCTTCTATTATATTTTTTGATCATATGGCGCTTTTCTACTACACAGTAGTACCAGCTTGACTCGACTCGGTTCGTCTCGGCTCGCCTTTGTTTGTTTTTCCACTGTGTAAAAGTTGTACCTTGAGTTTTTTTGTATCAATTCCGACGAGGTTCTGAGCGAGCTAAGCCGGTACTAAAATGTGACGTGAAAACAACGCAGACTGCTGATTGGTCAGAGAGAATCGTCACCATTTACTGCGTCATCATTGCACACGCCATATGGAGTATCCCGAATATCCCCGCCATTTTTAAATAGTTTGGCCAGAGATAGTTTCTAAACTTACTACTATTATTATTATGGCAACTCGGAAGAATACGCCGTGGCCAAATGAGGAGCTGCAGACTTTCCTTTGTTTGGTTGCCGAAGAGAGGATCCAGCGAGAGCTTGATGCGGTAACGAGGAACGAAAGGCGTCGCTATGACGACCAGGTACTATTTGTGGCAATGGAAAACGGAGCGAAAAGCGAGCTGAGCCGATACTGGTAATGGAAAAGCGCAAATACTGTACAACGGAAGTCAATGGGAACCGGAATTGTTCGGTTTTGGTTTCCACTGAAGAAAGTCATATAGGTTTGGAACAACATGAGGGTGAGGAAATGATGACAGAATTTGTATTTTTGGGTGAACTATCCCTTTAAGATGCCTTCACACTGACAGCGATACAATTCACCAAATAAAAGACTGCCGTTTGCTTTCAGCATGAATGCAGCTTTACCCTCAAGTGCGCTTGAGCTGAGTGTTTTTTTAAGAACTCATTAATGACTCATTCTTTTTGAGAGGTGCAACATATTCTATACAACACCGTCTAGCTGAAGGTCACGAAACTGGATTCCGCAAACAACCTTTTTGTTGCGCAGACTCCAATGCCAAGATCTTGTAACGAGAGCAGTGTGAGGGCCAAACAGACAACGATAACACACACACACACACAACTCAAACACACCAGAAAAGAAGTTTCCTTTGATTTCCGACACAATAGTCTGACCACAGTAGACTCACTTTATTTAGCTAGTATATCTCTATCTATATATCTACTATTTATTTATAAATAGGCACTCGCCACCATGTTGAGACGTTACGACAAATCTGCGGTAGCTCCGCCAGTACCTGGTGGGACGGTTCGTTTAAAGGAGGAAGGACATTCCCTTTATGGTTGGACTGGCCTTGTCAAACGACATCTTGACACAGTTCATTTTGTGGGACATACAACTACAACCTGTAGCAATTTCTTGGGAGACCATCTCAATCATCTTCCGAAGAACTCGTATGATGGCGCCATGGATGTAGTTACAGATCAGTTGATGTCTGAAATGATTGTACCCATGGCTGTCTCCATCTCTTTTGGGCCTGAGCACCAGTTGAAGCACCATAAGAAACGTTCCCTGTTGTAAGGGGTGGAGGTGCATAGGTGCATGAGAGCTAACACTCAAACCGGGCTTGGGGTGGAGCACAAGCAAAGAGAAAGGGCAAATTCTGCTAAGCATGGTGTATGTTATGTGCGTTATAATTGGTGAGACGAAATGAACTCTGCATAGAGTAGACTACCTCTGAGGGTCAACTAAGGTAACTCTAAAGACGTGACAGATAGATACCACCTCTATAAGGTCCAATATTCACTAAAGAACCAACGATGGAGGCTAAACGTGGCACAGAGAAATTACATGAGTGTTCAAATCTAAGTACATATATGTATAGCACATGTAATAAAACCTAAACAATAGAAGGCAGGCAACAGTTGCCCTTTTAAGATTTCAACTGCAAATGCAGATGTGATTGTAAAAAAAAAAGATGGTATTATTTTACATTGGGTTTTCACATAAAAAGCAGAGAAATCAGGCTTGAATAAGTGCAAGCTGACTTGTTGCCTCGTTGAAGAGGTGGAGCTAGATCTGAGTGGGCGGGGCAATGTGCTGAAGGGGAGGGGCCAGCTGGATTCATGCACTGGTCGTATGTGGAAACCAGACAACAAGGAGCAGCTGAAGTGACTCATTTTGATTTGAGCATTGATAGTCTTCAAGGCGAATGTCTTTAGAAAAAGGGCTGCACCAGGAAGTGACTGCGTTTGTTCAGTCCAGACTTCCATTTATACTTTTTTTAATCATCTGAAATAAAAACAACAAGATGGAATAATTATCTTTAAGACAGTGTCTCTTATGCTCACCAAGGGATGCATTTATTTGAGCAAAAAATACTGTAAAAGCTAACAAAACAGTAACATTGCGAAATATTCTGAATAAAACTGAATTTTCAGCATCATTACTCCAGTCTTCAGTGTCACATGATCCTTCAGAAATCATTCTAATATGCTGATTTTTTGCTCAAGAAACATTTCTTATTTTCAATGTTTAAAACATTTGGGCTGTCTTTTTTTAATCAACTAAATGCATTATGCACCCTTGGCTGAATATGGAAGTATTCATTTCTTTAGATAATATTTTTTTATATTGTAGTGTATGTGAAATTTGTAAATGAAATGGTTTTATTTCAGACGGACACAGTTAGTAGTTCTGTTGTTGAAAGTGTTTACCTGCTCAGGTGGTCTTCTCCAGCTTTGGCCCTCCCACTCACACTAATGCTCCGCCTCTTTCCTTAACGCATGGAAATAAATGGCCCCATCGAAAAGAGTGAATCTGAGTGTAGGTAAAGACTGGCCAAGTGAACAATGTAGAATTTCATCTGTATGGCATGGCTGTGCTCCTCCATTAGTGACTGAATTGTCTGAGAACATACGGAGGAACATAATCACAAATCACTTAAAGGACAACTCCGGCGCAAAATGAACCTTTGGTCTAATTACACATTGCTACCTAGTCAACCGTTATCCGAGATTTGTTTTCATGATTGCCGAATGTAAATAGTTTTATTTCTAAAAACAGTTTAGCCTATAACGCTAGTATAATGCTAGTATATAGGGCATAGAGTAATGACAAATAAAAATCGCTTGTTATTACCACTAACAAGGCTCAAAATAGCCCCACACCAACGCAACAGCATAACGGGTCCCTACATTCAAACCGAAGCATTGAGAACTTTGTTAGTGTCCAAACAGTTTAATAAGAAGATATTTTATACACACAGTCAACTTCGCGAATACAGGAAGAAGCCATCTTGGAAAAATAGTCTCGACCAGTCGATCTACGAACGCCGATCCAAGTGCGGTGGTGAGATGTGAATAAGGTGATAATGTGAGCGCGAACAGTAGGCTACGTGTACATATAGAAGACAAGTAAACGGTTTGTGTTTGTGTTTCTTCTGGAAACAACGGACCATATGAGATTCTGCACAGTTCAGCGCACTTGGATCGGCGCTCGTAGATCGACTGGTCGAGACTATTTTTCAAAGATGGCTTCTTCCTGTATTCGCGAAGTTGACTGTGTGTATAAAATATCTTCTTATTAAACTGTTTGGACACTGACAAAGTTCTCAATGCTTCGCTTTGAATGTAGGGACTCTTGTTATGCTGTCGCGTTGGTGTGGGGCTATTTTGAGCCTTTTTAGTGGTTAATAACAAGCGATTTTTATTTTTCATTACTCTATGCCCTATATACTAGCATTATACTAGCGTTATAGGCTAAACTGTTTTTAGAGATAAAACTATTTACATTCGGCAATCATGAAAACAAATCTCAGATAACGGTTTACTAGGTAACAATGTGTAATTAGACCAAAGGTTCATTTTGCGCCGGAGTTGTCCTTTAATCCACAAAATGTTTGACTTTAAACCAGAAAACTGACATCAATCATCAATATCTCACCCCCCAAAAAAACATCATCATAGCTTTGGTATGGTTATGCCCAAATTCCTTCTTCATCATCCTTTGAGCCCAACGTATATCCAAAGGTCAGCATGAAATGAAGAGAATTAGATGAGTTAAAGGTGAAAGAGCAGGTTGTATATTTCGTGAATGTTTTACAGTGAGTGACTTGTACAGTAGATTATATACAGATCCATCGCCTACTGAAAAGACCAAATTAATCTAGGGAGGAGATGATACTATCATCTATTGTGATTTCTTGAAAATGTCCCATTCCCGTCTGTACGAGTATGAACGTGCAACGGGAGTCAAGCCTGTCTCTTATTAGTAAACAAAGCGACAGTGACAAAAGTAATATCCAAGATGGGGACATCTATAAAACGAAAAAAAGTTTTATCACGACAAGAGTCCAATCGATCCACGAGTCCATGTGTCAAACACAAAACTGACGGGAGCAGGTGTACAGGTGTGAGTTCGGATATAGAATCAGCTGTGTGTGAACGTAACCAGACTCAAATTCAGGACAAACAACCGTATTCTGCTGCTGTGTGAATGTGGCCTTAGTAGACTGTACTTGCAAAGTTACTTACAGTCAGTAGAATGTCAAAATAAAGTGTTAGCAGATATTAAAGGGATAGTTCACTTTGAAATTGATTTTTGGTATGTTTTAGCTTACCTCAAGGGCATCCAAGATGTAGGTGTCTTTGTTTCCACAGCATTTTCAATTTTCAAACCGTTCTTGTCTGTCAGTCCTATAATGGGCTAACACGTTTAGATATCAAAATCGTCTTCCATTGCGATTTCTCGTATATCTAAATATGTTTAGTGAAAGGAAAAACTTCCGCGTAAACAATGCGTGACGTAGACGCGCGAGAGATCACTTCCGGCGTAACGTCTGGAGACGGTTCAGTTCGGTTCAGTTGGACATCTGATTCAGATCAGTTCGACAGTAAAACTATATAAATACTAGGGGTGTAACGGTACACAAAAATCACGGTTCGGTACGTACCTCGGTTTTAAAGTCACGGTTCGGTACGTTTTCGATACAGCAAAAAGAAAGAAATGCCAGAGAAATTTCCTATTTGTTTAAAGAAAAAATATTTTTAAATAAGTGCGGGTTTTCCTAGATCTTGAAACTTTCAGGTTTATAAATGGGGGTCATTTTTGAAGGATGAACAAATAATGTTTTGGTCGTCACAGTAAAAATAACATTTAAATATATATTTATTGATATAATATTTGAATTTTGAAGTGCTGGAAAAAGATGTGTGAAGTACTTGAAAGCATTTCACCATTCCAGCCAAACTGGTTCCAGTTAGTGTTACTATATTAAATCCATGGTGAATGTTGCTGGTCTGTGGACGAAAGTATTACTAGTTCATTCACGGCACAATGTTTCGCCTGGTTTCCATGACAGCGCTGTTTGATCTAATAGAGATCTACGGTTAATAACGGAGAAATGTGAATGCTTCTCACTAGATCTCGCAGCGATGTTATTACCTCAGTGGCGAATTCAAATGTTTTCTTTACCGGATCTCTTAGCGCGGTGTGGTAACAGTGTTGCTTGATCGAGATCGGCTCGCGCTGCACAGATGTTGCTAGTCCGAACTGATAAACGATCCGTGAAGCACATAACGAGGAGCGCAGTTTCGTTCCGCTTGCCATTTGATGTTGCGCAACGTTGTGTTGGCCGCGTCAGCACGAATTATGCCGGCAGGAAAAATGGTCCAAGCAATCGTTCGCTTTGTATGCGTACCGAACCGGAAGCCTCGAACCGAAACGGTTCAATACGAATACATGTACCGTTACACCCCTAATAAATACTGTTCGTTTTCTCACACAAACCGCTCGTTTTGTGTCTTAGGCCATCAATGTGTACTTACATTTACGAGTCATTAAATCATGTTTAATTTGGACTTCTCTGTGCATGCTCTTTGAGGTGGTGACCATAGACCTCCATTATATGACTGACAGACAAGAACGGTTTGACCTAAAAATATCAAAATTGAAACTACTGCGGAAACAAAGACACTTACATCTTGGATGCCCTTCAGGTAAGCTAAAACATAACAAAAAATAATTTCAAAGTGAACTATCCCTTTAAGCAGACAGTCTGCTAATACTTGAATGACCGAGTTGGCATGGTAGTTGTAGTAACAAAGTCTAAAGTGAACTATCGAAGACATTACCGCATAACAAAATGACCAAAACATACCACATACATTAATATTAAAATAGAGACAAAATTACCGACCTGGTCCGGGGCGGGGCGGTGTCCGGGATGAGGCGGTCCACGGCCTGGACCCCGATGGTGTGGCGGAGGGTGTCGAGGGTGTGGGCCCTGTTGGCCGGGGTGATGGGGGTGCTGCTGCGGGTGGGGGCCCTGCTGAGGCGGTGGTCCGTGAGGGTGCTGGGGGTGTGGATGCTGCTGCTGCTGCTGCGGAGGGACCCCGGGATGAGGGTGTTGAGGGTGGGGCGGTTGAGGTCTGGGCTGGTGCGGGTGTGGGCCAGGTGGTTGTGGGTGCTGGGGGTGTTGCGGGTGAGGGTATTGAGGCTGGGGGGGCTGCTGTGGGTGTTGTTGGTGGTGGGGAGGAGGCTGCGGGTGTTGGGGATGGGGCGCATGTGGGTAAGGAGGCTGGTGTGGGTGCTGGGCCTGTGGGCTGGGCCTGAGGTGCGGGTGCTGGGCCTGTGGGTGTGGGTGCGGGTGCTGGGCCTGTGGGTGTTGGGCCTGTGGGTGTTGGGCCTGTGGGTGCTGGGCCTGAGGGTGCTGGGCCTGAGGGTGAGGGTGCTGGGCCTGTGGATACGGAGGCTGGGGTTGGGGTTGAGGATGAAGGGGTTGAGGCTGCATGTGGGGAGGTGGAGCGTGAAGGTGGTAATGATCATCCTCGTAGTTGTCGGTAATCAGTTTCATTCTGCTCTGTGTCTAAAATGGATAGACAAAAGAGAGTAAGCCACAAGCAACATATACCCATAGACTGATCACGGAATGGAAACACATCTCTAAACAGCTTGTCCAAATGTAATCGGTTTGCTTTGACAATGAAGTACCAGAAAACAAAGTTGTGTTTACAAGGTATTAGGTTGCAATGCCTCCTAAGGAAGAACAGAAATTTTTCTTATCATTTCTTTCACACACTCATTCCCAACCAGCAAAGTTGGTACTGTCACAATTTATGTTGGCAAAACACCCCTCTAAAATTGAAAAGTTGGAATGAACAATCAGCACCAAATCGGCCTTTTTTCCCTTCAATTTATTGCCTGAGTGTATATGTTTAATTTTGTTGGCTATTTTAAGAGTTAGATAACTTATGTAATCATATAATAAGGGATGGAAATAGATTAGAGCAAATATTTAAAAACTCAAAATCAATTAAATCCATTAAATCCATTGGTTACAGGGCATTCAGAAAGTATTCACAGCGCTTCATTTTTTCCACATTTTGTTATATCACAGCCTTATTCCAAAACGGATTCAATTAGTTATCGACAAACAATACCAGATAATGACTAAGTTTATTTTAATCTTTGCAAATTTATTAAAAACAAAAAATGAAAAGATCTCCTGGAGCCTACGTATTCACAGCCTTTGCAAGTAAATGTTGGTCTAATTATTTTAGTGTTTCTATGCTGTTTATGTGTCAGAATATATTATCATGTAACATAGACTTATTTAAAAAAAAAAATTAGTAAATGGACTTAAACTTCCAAAAATCTGCAGAGTTCAAATATTTCGACACGCAAAGTGAAGCATTGTGAATACTTCATGGATGCACTGTATATCATATTCTAAAGCTGCATAATATTGGGTTAAGACATTGTGATTTTTTTTTTCAATATATATTGTGGAAAAAAATACAGGAACGTCATGACATATATTTATTTAATTGGTAACACTTTACCATATGGTTTCATTTGTTAACATGAACTAACAATGAGCAAAACATTTGTTACAATATTTATGAACGTATGTTTACGTTAGTTAATAAAAATACAGATGTTCACTGTTTGTTCATGTTAGTTCACAGTGCATTAATCTATGTTGTCAAATACAACTTTTGATTTTAATAACATTTTAGTAAATGTTAAAATTAACATTAACTAAGATTAATAAATACAGTATTGCTCATTCATAGTTCATGTTAGTTAACTAATGTTGACAAATGAAAGCTTATTGTAAAGTGTTACCATTTAATTAAATCACAATCTTTGCGATATGCATTCTGTGTGCATTCTCAATATATTGTAGATGATTTCAAAATGATTATTCATATACAATACAATTTAATGGTGTGATGCCTGAATTCACTAAAAATAAAGTACATTATAGTTCTATAATATCACCCATTTAACATTTATTGGCTATTAAATACAAATGATTATCCACTTGTCAGCATCGGACATGATTTTAATATCCGTGCAGCTCTATGCCGTCTTAAGACTATGTGTTACTAAAAGGGCATAAATTCACTGACATGTTGTTTGAGCTGATGCATCAGCCTGTCCTTCTCTCTTTTCAGGGCCAGCACTTCCTCTTGTGTCTTCTTCTTATTGGACGATGACAGCTCCAGCAGAGCAATGTTAGCATCCTTCTCACTGATAGCAGCGAGCAGAGCCTGTTGTCTGAGAGGAACAGACAGTCAATGCATGTACACTAAAGGACATTTCAGGCATCAAAAACGTAAGATCCTGTTGTCTGATCGCAAGGATTCTTACTTCATCTCCAAGATCTCCTCGAGCTGTTTTCTGCGCTCCTGTCGGAGGTTGGTCAGATGGCCGTCTCTCTCGGAAAGAGACTGTTGGGTGGAGGACAGACGCTGCTTGGTGGAATCCAACTCCTGCCTCGTCTTCTCCAAAACATTCAGCAACTCCTCCATCTGTGAAATGAAAAACGTCAACGTGTCCAGGAAAATGATGAGAAAACCTTTAGTTTTTCTAAGGAAATATAAGGTATAAATCTCTTTCACACACACACACACACACACACCTTTGGGTTGTCCATTGGATTATCCTTGCGCTGGTCTTGCAAGATGTTACCAGGGCCTTTCTTGTCCATCTGAGGGCCAAGCTTGATGCCTGGGCCTTTTTTATTTTGATCCTTGGTTTGCCTTAAAAAGCATACAGTGTGTCACCTGAATAGTTTATGTTATAGTCACAATCACAAATCACCATTTAACCAATCTAAATATGATCTCAATTAATTATCATATTGACGTTACGTTGGCCCGAAACAGTAAAAAATATTTTCTTACTCAGTATTTTTGTCTTGTTTTACAGTAAAAATCAAGATACATTTACTTGAGGAGCAAAATGACTTTAAAGAGAAATTAAAGGGATAGTTCACCCAAAAATACAAATTTTGTCCTTCCAAACCTGTATTTCTTTTGCGGAATACAAAAAAAAGAAAAAAAAAAAAAAAAGAACGATATTTTGAAAAATGTTGATAATCAAAAAGTTTCATTTCCCACAGACTTCCACTATTGTGAGTAGATGACAGAATTGAAATTTTTGGGTGCACTATCCCTTGCCTGGTTCAGATTACACGATTTTAGCCCGATTTTGGCATGATCCGTTTGACGTAGGGTGTCGTGGGGATTCGTAAACGTCAACGGGCGTCGGGACGCAAGATTTGATCGTATCGTCATAGGGGCAACAACCTACATCGCGTCTGCGATGCTTCACGACATCACGACAAAAAGACTAGCACGTTTATTTTTTTAACGGTCGTCCACGACGGTTCCGTCACATGTATGAGGTTGACCAATAGGAGCAAGCTTTTCCGTATACAACTTTCAAAAAAGACAAAACGAAAGAGAGACGATGGTGCTAACGTTAAAACTAGAAGTAAAAAATATAACGTTATAAGAAAACAATATTTTACCTCAAGTTCTCTTTGGTGGATTGACAGCCCATACTGTCCTCTTCGAGCAGGGTTCTCAAGTCTCACGCAATGGCCGTGAGACACACGCAATTCAACCAGTTCACACACTCACACGTGTATTTCTCATGCTGAAAAGGCAATGCCGAGCAATCCAGGAACTCACTCGCTACGAGTTTCGCCTTCTCGATGACATCACGCGCGCCGTTAAACACGGCATGCGATGACTATCGTAACAGACAACAACAAAAATCGTGTAATCTGAACCAGTGTTGTTTTGTATATAAAAAACCCCTTTAGATTAATGTATAAAGTTAATATGTTCTAAGAAAAAATAGCCAGTGGGGTAACAAAAATAACCTTAATTCAGAGGAAAAGATTTATTTTGGCAGATATATTTTTCTTCTTTTAAGTAAATTTAGCTGCTTTTTTCAGAAAAAAACTTAATTACTTAAGTTACATTTTGCTTCTCAAGTAATTAATCTTGATTTAAGAATGTTCAGATATTTATATTGTAAAAAAGAGCTCTACTTAAGCCATACTTAAGAGATTTTGACGCATCCACTTAACATTATTTTTTTGCGAATGCCATTTTGTTTGATACTTCATTATGTAACATTCAGACTTTTTAAAGTGCCTAAACACATTTTAGCATCAGTGTATGTGTGATTAGTTAGTGCAAATAACAATATAACACCATGAAATGAGACACTATACACACTATATTCAACTGCGAGAAACACGATAGTTATTATCACGTGAACGAAATGCGCTTGGTTATTGCTCAGAAGGGAGGGTGGACACCTGAGGAACACCCAACTTACCTGGGAGCAAGACTGGCGGTGGAGGAGGAAGAAGAGGGAGGAAGGATGCAGGAACGGGAAGGAAGAGAAGCGAGACACAGCAAACAAGAAGGAAAGGAGAAATAAAACTTCAGAATTATCAGAAACGAAGCAGAAAACAGCTGGAAAGAGTCAAGAGAGAAACTAAGAGCGGTTTAAAACGGCTCCTAGATCAACAAGACAGGATGCAAGACGCTATCATCTCAAACCATCACTGTCAGTGGTTAACCACTGGGGCCCGTGAGAGTGCCAACATGCAGCAGCTCAACCAGCCGAGCCACAGTGAGGGGTCGCGGGGGGCAAACGGGGCAGGAGCGCTCAGGCATGAGGGTGCAAACCTACTTGAGGAACACCAGACCCTACCTAAAGTACCCAGCAGCTCATTCACAGAGCACATCGGGGCCTGCGATGCCGGCCAACGTCTCATGCGGGACAGTGAGACGCCCGTTTTGGGGGGATTTTGGCAGGCTGAGGTGGGTGGATCATTCAGAAGAGTGAGAGGGAAGGGGGGAGAGATGATGTTAGGAAGCAGAGAGAGGAGAGGGGATGCAGATCAGCGTGTGAAATGGGGGTTCAAGGGTCAGGAAAGGGGCTCCGCTGCTTGCCAAAGCCCTCGTATGCCAGCAACACCAAGCGGCAAGCACAGAGATCACAGAAGCGCGTGTGTGTGCAAAATAGAGCAACAAATGCAGAACATATTAACATGTCACATAAGCAGGGTGGAATACAATACAGCAAGATAATAGCATTATTAAACAAATTCATGAGGAAAAAAGTCTAATTTCAAGAATAGTTCACCTAAAAATAAAAATTACTCATGTAATTATTCATGTACAATATTTCTTCATCATTAATTTTCAGTAAGTAATAACTCAAATTTATAACTCAAACTCAAACATATGAACTTCTGCAGATATTATTTTCTTGTTTTAAGGATAAAGTTACTTAATTTTGTAATTTTTTTTTTCAACTTCTTGCCCTTGAAAACTTATGTCATTTGGCTTCTAAAGTGAACGTGTCTTGACATTTTAGTGCCTTTTGTCATTTTTGGAGCTCAACAGCATGAAAAATGTTTACTTTTCTTTTTTTTAGGTGAACCATCCCTTTAATCTTGGTGCACTTTCAAAGTATGACTACACATTAACAGGTTGCCATGCCAACATCAACACCACAGATACATCAAGTGTGCAGTTATCACACATCTGACACAATGTGAAAACAAAAGTTTTGTGCTGCTGAAACAGAGGAACCATTTTGATTAAAACTGTGAGATATTGTCTATATCCACTGCACAAAAACACATTATAGAACAGATATAATGATAAAAAGGAAAACGTGCACTCTGGTTGATGTAAGCTCTGTTCCAAAGCCGAGTGAGATGCCTACCTAGGCAACATATTTTAGTCACTATAGGTGCGCTCATTAAGCAAGTACTATTTAAAGCAACTGTTTTCTATGTTAATATTTTTGAAAATATCATTTATTCCTGTGATGCAAAGCTGAGTGCTGCCTAAGTATACAGTGAGGCATCTCACAAGAGTTTAGAAGAGAGCCCAATACATGCACAAGAGATGGCATTCACAACCACAAAACACATTTTCTGAGCTGTCTCATTCCACTGATTTTTACATCAATGCAATCTGGCACATATTTACAACATTATAAGGAATAAAACCATCCTTTCCTTTGTTAGAAAAACCAGTGAATGAGAGACAGCCGTGCAACAGCGACATCAAGGCGTCAAACAGCCACACAGATAAATGCAGCCGAGCCGTGGTGCCAGGACAGAGCACTCACTTTCCCAGGAAGTCCCACATCATGCCCCCAATCTGCTGGGGGGCAGCGGACACAGAGGGGGGAGGCTCAGAGGGGGCTCTGCCACCAGGGCGGGGCGAGGGGCGGGCAGCGGGGGGAGGGGGGCTAGGCCAAAGTCAAGGACGGATGAGTTATGAGGTTATGGATGGAGGTAACATGAATGAAGAAGGAAGAATGATAGGAAGATATGATAGAGATAGATGGATGGATGGATGGATGGATGGATGGATGGATGGATGGATGGATAGATATACATGACGAGACATGACGATAGATAGATAGATAGATATGACGATAGATAGATAGATAGATAGATAGACATGACGATAGATAGATAGATAGATAGATAGATAGATAGATAGATAGATAGATAGATAGATAGATAGATAGATATGACGAGACATGACGATAGATAGATAGATAGACAGACAGACAGACATGACGATAGACATGACGATAGATAGATAGATAGATAGATAGATAGATAGATAGATAGATAGATAGATAGATAGATAGATATGAAGACATGACGATAGATAGATAGATAGATAGATAGATAGATAGATAGATAGATAGATAGACATGACGATAGATAGATAGATATACATGACGAGACATGACGATAGATAGATAGACAGACAGACATGACGATAGACATGACGATAGATAGATAGATAGATAGATAGATAGATAGATAGATAGATATGAAGACATGACGATAGATAGATAGATATATAGATAGATAGATAGATAGATAGATAGATAGATAGATAGATAGATAGATATGAAGACATGACGATAGATAGATAGACATGACGATAGATAGACATGACGACAGACAGACAGACAGATAGATAGATAGATAGATAGATAGATAGATAGATAGATAGATAGATAGATAGATAGATAATGTTTAATTTCAATAGGTTAAAGACAGGAATTCATTAGCCAATGACAGAAATGCAGAAGAGTTGCAGGACAGGAAGAACATGAAGATTGACAAGAAATTATGAACAAGAAATGAGTGTTTTATGACAGAAGACGAAGGATCATGGAAGAACAGGAGGAAGAGAAAGAGGTCGGAAAAAGAGAAAGACCGAAAGACAGAACAGAGGAAGAATTGGCGAGACGGTAAAAAAAAAAAACAGAAACACATGGTTAATCAAACCACATTAACACTGAAGCATGAGCGTCAACTGAGAAAAAGCAAACAAGACTTTGAGCCAGAGCTGAAGAACCGAGGAACTGAACTCACTGTCTGTGCCCAAAACTATTATGAAGGCTGTTCACACTGACAGTGATTTTTATTGCTTTTTTATTATAGAAAAAGAGTTTGTGTGTCAATTGACCATTCGCAGGTAGCTTTACTTGACAGGTGATCTGACCAATCATACTTTGTCATCATCCGCCATTTTGTCCAAAGCAACATAAACAAGATAGGCCTAATTAAAAGTGCATTAATGTATATATTAATTATAAAATTATAGTTTATATTATATATAAAATTATTAAGTCATTTTTAATGTTATTTAATCATTTTTATTTTATTGTTATATATTTATGCATAAAATATCCCTTTCACTGGTAGCATTACTGCTTATTTCCATGAAATGCTTACTTTCTCAACTTAGTTGCGTCAATGATTTATGATCACTTTCAAATTGCTGTCAGTGTGAACGGCCATTTAGGATGATGCACAACCTGAACACACAGGAGTAGCATGGACCTGATGTCTTAAATGAACTACTCAACTAAATGGAATCATTTAAAAGAAGAGATACGGAGGCTGTTGTACGATTACGAACATGCCAAAACACACACAGTTTTGTCGGGAATAGTAGTCTATGAAGAGAGGCACAAGCTTGATATCAATATTCAGAACGTGTCAGAAACGCACAGAATGCTGATGACCTCATGAATGCATGATTCCAGGAAACAGCATAAATATTTGCAATCATCATCATATTTCCCCTGTAGGAGATGCATTATTGACGGCAGCTCGGTTTGTACATCGCATCGATAACAAAACAGTCCTTGACATCAGCATTTTGATGTTACATCCCTGCAGAATTGTGTATTTAGCAGTACAGCAGAAACTGACAACTGATGCTGTCAAGGCCTGAGATAATGGCAAAACTGTTAAATCTTATATTTACACTACCAGGGAAACATTAAAACGCATTTATTCATTGTTTATTTTTTTACTACTTTCCACATTTTAGGATAAGAGTAAAATCATTAAAGGCAGGGCAGGCGATTTATTGCAGAATTTCGTCTATTGTGCTAGTTGAAAATCTCTTCACATCCTGCTAGCAATAACTAAGCTAAGTGGTCTGGTCTAAATGTATTTATATATTGTCTGTGGAAGGTGTTGGACCATAAAATGTTCTTCCAATCATTGCATTTAGTCCGAATGCGATGACAGTCAGGTGGTCCAGGTCAGTGCTCTTTACGTTCATTATTAATGTAATGTTATGAGCTTTGAGACATGAGGAAGTTTAAAACCATCTCTCATCACGTGATGCTTTGCAAACTCTGCTGTGCTGTGTGCGTTCATGTGTTTTGGAGGAGGCGTGGCTTTGTAGACGCTCTGAAATGAGGGTGGGATCTTATGCTTTCAAAGCTAGCTTGCTTTTGCTAGCTGCTCCGAAAATTGCCTACCCTACCTTTAAGAGTCTGAAACTATTAAAAAACACAAATTGAAGAATGAGTTCTGTAGTGACCATTAAAGTCACCATGAAATCAAAATTGCAGATTCGTATTCGTTTTTATGGAATTTTGTAGTATTTATTGTAAATTGATTTATCAGTGCACATCATTTTTTAAATTCATGTGTTCTCGTAATCTTTAATCAAAATAACGTCTCCTCCCTCTTGCAGCGACATTACTTCTCTTCTCTGATGAAGTGTTAACTGGCGAGGGCGGGGCAACCTGTCACTCACATGAGAACCACCAATAGCAAACCACAACCATCCAATCAATTCCCAAAGGACAAAATCAAGTCCAGCCCTACATTTTTTTCATTCAATCGGATATATATTTACACTGTAAAAAATATTTTCAAGATTTGTTATCACATTTCTCTTTTGTCAAATCAACTTAAATCATTTATTTAGTTGAGATAACTTATTATTTTGAGTTTCTGATGATTAAATCAATCTCCTTCATTGTATTAACTCACTTTTTCCAGTTCAATTTACTTAAAATTTTAAGGCAACCCAGTTACTTACTTTTTTAAGTTAAACCAACAATATTTTTTTACAGTGTAGACCACAATAGGGAATAAAAGACTGTCACAACTTTAAACAAAGGAAATATCTTAAATTTCATTTTATATCTCTTTTTAATCTTATTTCATTTTATCTCTCTTTATATCTATATTTAAATTTCTTCTTTGTCTGATTTCCAGCTCTTCATGGTCGGTGCATCTTAGGATGCAGTTTAGACCGTATTGGAAGACACTTTTGTGAAAAATAAAAATTTAGTAAAGAAATGCATGCCTATTTTACTATCCGGCCAACTCATTTATTTTAAATTATTAAACCTAAAATCATTTGTTAATATCAATTCATTTGTAATGCATACATATATGCTTACAATACAATAAATGCAAACATAGACACAAATTATATTTTCCACAAAGCTAATTCCACTTATTTATCTATAAGTATTTAGATCAAAATTTTAAGATCATAAGAAAACTAATTCAGTCAAGTGTGTCCAAATGTTTGATGCGACTTAAATGTTCAACCTCACCCTTCTGAAAGCATTTGAAAGTAAAAAAAGGGTCCTCACCTCTCCAGTTCTGCAATCTTCTTATCCTTGTCATTTTTCTCCGTCTCCACCTCTCTCAGAATCTCCAGTAACCTCTCGACCTCATTCTGGGCTTTCCCGGACTCCTCTTTGTAGTAGGACACCTCCTTCTCCAGAAGTTTGACCCGGTCCACATACTCGGGGTTCCCACGTGAGCTTTGCTGCACCTCCACCTCGTGGGCCTTCTGTATGAGGCATCGCCATAGAAACCATAGTTAAAAGCACACAGCCTCAGCCAATCAAAATCATCGAATGAAGAAACATTCCCAATTCTGAAAGCCACGAACACGAATGCAAGAGTAGAGGCGTCTTTGGGCTTCACAAAGCAGATTATCAGCCAAGCTTTAAATGCAAAAACTGCAAAGATTAAATGTACTTATTTGGCTTGTTGCAGTCGAAACTGTAGTTAAAAACTGTAGAACCGACCAAGCTGCAATTATGCATGATTTCCTTTGCAATATTTAAACGCAGCCTTGCTTAGTTTGTAAAACACTACAAGCAGTCTAAAGCACAGTTTACATCAGCATGTTTAAAATGAAGCCGCAATGGATCACATGGGTAAGTTACTCTAAAAAAAAGTAATTAATTACATCTTCAACAGAGTAATTAGATTACTGTACTCATTACTCTCTCTAAAAAGTATTGGATTACTTATTACTAATCACTTTCTAAATCCCACATCAATTGAGTTGAACTCAAGGACAGACACAGAACTGCATTTTTGATTCTTTCAAATAAATAAATAACAATTGCATAAATTTAGGGCTGTCAAACGATTAATCGCATCCAAAATAAAAGTTTGTGTTTACATAATATATATGTGGGTGCACTGTGTATAATTATAATTAATTTATATATATAAATACACACACATGCTTGTATATATTTGCATATAGATTTATATATAATTTATATTATATATAAATATAAATATTTGACATATAAATAATATATTTTTTTCTTAAATATACATGCAAGCATGTTTGTGTATTTATATATACAGTATTCAAAATAATTATACACAGTGCATCCACATATATTCTGCAAACACAAACTTTTAGTTTAGATGCGATTAATCACGATAAATGTTTGACAGCCCTACATAAATTATTTTTGAACAAACCAAATTGTGTGGAAGAAGATTATATTAAAAGCATACATTTGAACATTAAATGTTGATGTTAAATCCACTATTGTTTTACATAATTGTTAGTCAATACAGTATTTAATGCCATTACTTCAGAAGTAACTCTAATTAAATTACGGAAAAAATAAGAGTAACACCTTACTTAATTAAATGACAGTAATTAGATTAGTAATTAATTACACCCAACACTGATTAAAGAAAGCGACGACACGTACAGTATAATCCAAGCTAATGTGGTCTTAAAACCAAAAGTTATCACAAAGGCAAAGATTCAGAACATGATCACGTGACGTGAGAGGAATTAAACACACAACACAGAGGAACATGCGAAGCAACATGCAAATGTGGATTTCAGCTCCATGGTTCAGTGGTAAGGTTCTTTGCAATGTGTTTATGCGTGTTCAAGTATCTGAGTATTAAGATTAGTAATCACTGGAAGCATGAGGAAACGATACAGTTTCTGAACATGTTTCAATAAATTCTGCTGTGTCCTGTTGGTTTAGTCTCCATGTGATAAAAAACACTAAATGAACATAAGTTAAATTAAGACCTACAGTATACTGCCTGAGAACTATGGAAGAATATAAATATAGGCATCCATTAATACTACAACACAAATAACTGATCATAATACACATATTTGTTCCTGTATCACATTCACAGAATGAACCTTAAAGTTCATCAGATCATAACAGCAGGTTTGAATTCCTTCTAGACCTTTACAAGTTCAATCTGAAGTAAAACTAAGTGTGTAGTGTCCTCATGCTTTCAACATGTGCTAGTACAGATCCAGAGAGGCACTTACGGGATTGTTCATTTGACTGAACAGCTGCTCTGCTTGCTACATTGCAAAGGAGGGAATCATGGGAAATGAGGAGGAGGAGGAGTATGAAGGGACCCAGTAAAACAGCACAAGCTTTATCATTAGCTCTTCTTTCAGGTTAATGATAATGTTCAACACAGGAGAATATAAGTAACCAGAGAGCAACATAAGAACAAAAAGAAGCCAGCCGAGTCTCAAATCGGAGCGAACTGCCGACCTAGACGGCGGTTCTTATCATTATAAACATTTGGCGACACAAATATGCCATTTAGGTTCGCTAGGCTTTGAGACACAGCTGCTGTCAAACAGGAGAAATGAAAACAAAGACAGCAACATCTTATCAATACTTCAATAAAGTTCCCATGATGCCCTCTAAAATGAGTGACCATTATGCTGATGCAGAAAACACATTCAATGAAACAACTGGCTAATTCATTGAACGTTATTCCAGTGGTATAGCGATTAGTGGTTGACTGATATGGGTCTTTAAAAAGTAGATGGATAATATAATGCCAGAATAGAGAGATCTATAGGACTCATTTAAAATATAACTTTTAGGAACAAATACATTATCAAATATTATGTTAAATTCAGGACTTTCAATAATCATATGGAATTTTTGACATTCGTGAAAACGTACTTGATTGTTATACTGATTAAATATGCACTATACTGTTCCAACGTGTGGGATCAGAAAACAAATCAAATGTTTTTGAAAGAAGTCTCTTATGCTCACCATTAGGTCAAAAATACAGAAAAATAGTAATATTGTGGAACATTATAACAATCTGAAATACATTTTTCTATTTTAATATAATTAATAATTATTAAAAAATAACTACAAATAAATAATAATACATAATTAAATAAATTATTAATAATTACTATTAAAAATAAAGTAAAAGAAAATAAACATTTCTTATAATTATCAATATTGAAAACAGTTGTACTGCTTAACATTTTTATTGAAATATGATTGAAAAAAAAAATCAGGGCAATTTAACACTGTAAAAGTCAGTTGGATCAATTTAATGCATCCGAGTTGAATAAAAAGTATTACTTTCTTTAAAAAAAAAAAATCTAACAGACCCCAAACTTTCAAAACGTAGTAAAATATATATTGCTAAAATTAAACACATCATTTTTTTTCTTATTTTACATCATATTTATTCACTTCAAATATTTGGAAACAAAAATGTGCATTATCTAGAGAGTGCCGTTATGTTAAATTGACGTTAAAGTTAAGATGTCACTTTGTAGGCCAAAACGCGGAAGTGAGTTAGCATTTTAACACTTCCGGTTCCCTCGCCCTATAAAGTCTATGGGTTTTTTGAATGGGTTTTTGCTAAATCGCCTGAAATAAGGTCTGTGGTAAACAAAGCCTCTAAATATTATATAACCTGCTTGTGCTTTTTTAAACTTTATATAGGCTTCAAAATGTACACATTTAAGATAATCTTGATTGACAAAACGTGTAAGGGTCACAACTCTTTGTTGAACACCCTTTTCGATCGAGGGAACACATGCGCCGCTCACTTCCGAGTTGTCCTACAAAGGGACGTCATAACCTCGGCACTCTATTGACAAAGTTGTCGGTTGATTCTGAAGTCGACACAAGGGGGAACAACCACTTATATTAAGTGCCAAAGTGGCCAGTTAACGACCGATGCTGATTGATAATCTTAAAATCGGCAAATATCGAATTGTGTCAGAAGGAAAATCATACCTTTTGTAACTGTGTCTCCAGTTTATTGCATTCCTCTTTCTTCTGCTCGATTGCGATCTCAAGAGATTTGAGTTTGGAGTCTTTCTTGAGCCCCGATGAGGCCAGCGAGGAGGCGTGTTCTTTTAAATCTATGAGACTTGACTGGAGGAAGAGGAAAGACGAGACCAGAGCTGACAGTCTGACCCAAATCTCAAGAAAACACAACTCTAACGGTCACGCATGCAAATCTCTGACGTACCTCTTTCTCCGTTAACTCCAGCTGTAGAGTGTTCACCTTCTCTTTCAGGTCTTTATTCTCTTTTTTATACGAGTCCACCTCGTCTAGTCTCTCTCGGTCTTCCCTCTCTCTTTGCTCTTTCAGGCGCTCAATAATTCGCTCCTGTGACAAAAAACACATAATCGAGCATGCTAAAACTATTTACACTTCCCTGATGGGTCAAAATTACCATAAAATGCCTTTGAGACTTCAATATCACTCAGTCAGAATCGCTCAGTCATCATGAACATAATGACAGGGTGGACAAATGCTTTAAAGAAAGGAGCATTAAAGAAACTACAAGAAACCAGCCGTGTTTTGGGTACCTTCTCAGACAGAGCTTCCTCTAGCGTGGCGAGGGCAGTGTCAGTGTTGCTGGAGTCCGTCTGGAGAGACTTCACCCTGTCCTTTAGATTCCCGAGCTGTTTATCTTTATCCCTCAGCTGCTCCTGAAGGTTTTCAATCTAAGAGAGAGGAAGAAGATAAAACGGATGTGGATTTAGCACACATTTAACTGTTTATCCAGAGTTCAGAGTTCTCTTTGAAACCTCATGAATGATCTGAACCATCTCATGTAGCGTGTACTGGCGATCAGTTATTCACGCATAAAACATCTAGTCATATGAAGCAGCAGTGGCATTTTTAGATCATTTTGTCTGGTTTTGCTGCAGCCATGATGCGTTTTTGTAGGCCAACCCATAAGTTCGCATCAACCTGGTTCCCTCATGAAAAAATAGGATTTTTCAATTTGCTTTTTGATTATTGCAGAAAATAAGCTCTGTGAACAACATTAGTTCAGGATTTTTACACCATAATCTTCACAACTGAACACAAATTGTTTTGAAGCATAAATCAAATTTGCTACATATTGGCTATATTTGAACCACGGTCACATGACTCAAACATTACAACCACTAATCTTCGAAAACAAAACAAAAAAAAAATCACGTGTAGGGTATTACTGATATATTGTAATATAGAATAAAATGTGAAAATATATTGAGCTTGTTTTAACCACAAACCTTATTTCAGGCATTTAAAGGAGTAGTTCACTAAAAAAAAAAAACTTTAGCTGATAATTTACTCACCCCCATGTCATCCAAGATGACCATGTCATTCTTTCTTCAGTCGAAAAGAAATTAAAGTTTTTGATGAAAACATTCCAGGATTTTTCTCCATATAATGGACTTTAATGGGAACCAAACAGTTCAAGATCCAAAAGACAGTTTCAGCACAAACTGTTCAAAGGGCTTTAAACGATTCCAGACGATGAATAAGGGTCTTATCAAGCAAAACGATCGCTTATTTAATAAAAAAATAACAATGTTTAAGTTTTATAAGCTCAAATGCTCGCCTTGCTCTGTTCTGTGGCGCACGTTAGCGATTCTCCTGGTCGAACTCGTTCATCAAAATGAACAAATCTTTTTCCGAGTCATTTGGTTCATTTAATGAACGAAACGAACGAATTGACTCGGAAAAAGATTAGTTCATTTTGATGAACGAGTTCGAACAGGAGAGTCACAAACGATCGTTTCGCTGGATAAGACCCTTATTCATCGTCTGGAATCGTTTAAAGCCCTTTGAACAGTTTGCAGTTTGTACTGAAACTGTGTTTTGGACCTTGAACCGTTTGGTTCCCATTGAAATCCATTATATGGAGAAAAATGCTGGAATGTTTTCATCAAAAACCTTAATTTCTTTTCGACTGAAGAAAGAAAGACATGGACATCTCGGATGACATGGGGGTGAGTAAATTATCAGCAAAAGTTTTTTTTTTTTTTTTTTTTTTTAAACTACTCCTTTTACTAAAAGCCCATTCAATAAACCCATTGACTTTGGGACGATAGAAATGTAGGGGTGATAAAATCACACACTTCACCTTTTAAAAAAAAGTGTTTTTAATTTGACTTATATTTTGATTGCTAATTACGTAACAATCACTTATACAAGATTTCTGCTTGTTTGATCTAAAATGAATGCATTAGTTGTAAAATCACTATAAAGTTGCAGAAATTATTGGAGCATTTGTCACAAAAAAACATGCGACAAGGGATCAACAAACATTGTCAAAACAACAATGAAAAATGTCAAATAACAACAAATTGCACTGACAAAGAGGAACATTCATAAGCCAGCATTCACTGGATGGACGGATACTTCATATTGCTGTGTGTGTTGAGTCATATAAACTGTGCTGCCATTCAGAAACCGCATCTTACAAAGACGGATAACCTGGTCTGATGTAACGGGAAAAGTACCTGGACATCTGAGCAAGTCATGTGGTCTGTTGGTTCATCTTTCACCTTTTTTCCATTTGAACGGGTTTGTGTTAAAGGAAGCCCGAGGATAGTTGAACCCACAATGTCTATCGCTGACTGTGAAACATGGTGCTTGCTTTCTAATGGTACAGGCAAGCATCTCAAGGGAATATTTATGCCTGATGATGTTCTGAATGGTCAGATAATGGGCTAGATTTAACTTCCTTCATCCTTCCCAAGAACTGGACGCTTTTCTTTTAGATGAATGGTGCAATATCCCATTAACCACAATTATGATTCAAGAGCAAATTAAGCTGTTTTAAGTGCAAAAGGAACTACTGAGTGTTTCTTTGTGTTGATCCTGTATGTAAGCGATGCAGGTTGTTGGTGATGTGACTTAAAATATCCGATAAAAAGAAAACCAGCACAGAGAGCAAGAGATCAGAAGTTAAATATGGTTTGAAGCCTTTTTTGACACCGGAGATGTTTCCTGTGTGGCTGAATAACATGAAAAAGGTTGAAGAACCCAGCAAAGCATGCTGTGAGATGGTAAAGAGAGGGCAAAGATGAAAAAGGAGTTGAAAGAAGATACAGTGGAGAAATGTGCCAATGCTCTGTGTCTCTGTTCCTTGGAGATTGTTAAATGCATTGGAGGATTGCCTTATCTGTGAAGAGTGCAAGCAATTGTGCTTCCATTTTCAGTCAAAATTCAGTTCACTGGGTATTAGAAAAGAGCTTTAAGTGCATTTCTAATGCTGACTATAACTATAATGAAAAATAAATCCTTTTTCACATCTAACATTCTCAGAAGGATCTCTCAAAGTTATTCTCTCAAATGTTCGTTTTAAAGTTTTAAATACCAATCTTTTTTGTGTCCATCAGTGGTCAACTTTGTAATGTTATGACAAAATATAAGCAAACGTCCTTTGACTTACTACAGAATCTGAGGTGTCACACCATCAAGCAAAACAAAAAAATTGGCCAATCGGCATTGGCATTACTTCAACAAACATCTCGATATCCCTTGGTCTATAATAATTTTCTAAAAGCATTAAAGGAGTAGTTCACTTTTTAAAAAAAACTTTTGCAGATAATTTACTCACCCCCATGTCATCCACGTCTTTCTTTCTTCAGTCGAAAAGAAATTAAGGTTTTTGATGAAAACATTCCAGGATTTTTCTCCATATAATGAACTTCAATGGGAACCAAACGGTTCAAGTCCAAAAGACAGTTTCAGTGCATACTGTTCAAAGAGCTTTAAACGATTACAGGCAATGAATAAGGGTCTTATCAAGCGAAACAATCGCTCATTTAAAAAAAAAAGAAAGTTTAAGTTTTATAAGCTCAAATGCTCACCTTACTCTGTTCTGTGTGACTCTCCTGTTCAAACTCGTTCATCAAAATGAACAAAGTCGCTAACGTGCATCACAGAACAGAGCAAGGCGAGCATTTGAGCTTATAAAACTTAATCTATGTTGCGTTTTTTTTTTTAGATGAGCGATCGTTTCACTTGATAAGACCCTTATTCATCGTCTGAAATCGTTTAAAGCCCTGTCTTTTGGACCTTGAACCGTTTGGTTCCCATTGAAGTCCATTATATGGAGAAAAATCCTGGAATGTTTTCATCAAAAACCTTAATTTCTGTTCGACTGAAGAAAGAAAGACGTGGACATCTTGGATGACATGGGGGTGAGTAAATTATCAGCAAAAGTTTTTTTTTTTTTAAAGTGAACTACTCCTTTAAAACAAAAACATTGATCTTTGAGCGCATTGTTCATGGCAGTTTTTTTTTCTGAAATGTTTTAGGTGGAGGTTCGTCTAACATTTTATAAATGTTATAACTGGTTTTAGAATGTAACATTTCCATAATGTTTTAAAAATTATAAAACGGAATGTTTCCTTAATGTTGTCATAACCAAGAATTATTTTTTAAACATTTTAAAAATAAGAACATTAGCAAAACATTCTTAAAACATGATTTTTTGCAGGGCCCAGTACAAACCGTTTAACAAATCTGACCAAAACCACTAAATAGGCAATATAAAATGCTATAAATCTGAGAGCCTCTACATATTTTCAACAATACTCTCCCTTAGGAACTAGATACTGCTTGGCAACATCGACCCCAAACATTACTTAAACAGTCTGACCTTTAATTCCTGAGTGATTTACCTTTTTCTGCAGGACGTTGATCTTGCGTTCTTTGACTTCCAGCATGTCTTTAATGTCTCTGATCTCCCCAGCAAGTGTTCCCTTCTCCTCAGTCAAGTCTTGCAATTGCTTCGTCTTCTTATTAAGGAACGATTCCTTCTCCTCCAGACGCAATCGGAGAGCGTCCACCTAACCGGCGTCAGAGTTCATGCAAAGCTGATGAGATATGCCTTCAAGTGCCAATATGGCAACAAGTCAAGTATTGTTAACAAGTGAGAACATAATGCTGTTAAAATGAAATAAGATAAGATAAAAAAAAATACTATTTAAAGTAATGCACAAACAATGTGAGTCTGTGAAGCAGGGCTTTGGACTAGAGTAAATTTGAATATAAAAACGAAATCATTTTTGTAACCTCTGTTTGTAGGATGGCAGCGCGTTGCTCTTTGGCAGTGAGGGACTCTTTGAGCACTTCAATATGCTGTTTGCAGTCTGAATTCTGATTATTCAGAGTTTCCAGTTTCGTTTGCAGACCCAAAAGCTCGGATTCTTTTTTCGAGAGCTCCTGCTTGAGCTGGTCAATCTAAAAGAGATTGAGAAAGAAAAGAAGGCACGGAGAAAGATCATTTTCCGTTATTTGTGACACAGGGAAATGATAATAGCACATAAAAGCACTAGACAAATTCATTTTAATGAGTCGTGTCATAAAACATGTTAATCTTTTTTAATAGAAAAGCTGAAATGAGTATGGGAGTTTTCTTATCTATTCTGTACCCTCCTCACATAAAAGATGGATTTCAGAACGCAATCCCCATTTAATATACATCAGCCATATCAATTATTGATGAAATGAGTTCTATAAATATCACAACAAAACCCCCAGCTGATTCACGAGCATGTTAGCTACAGCAAAGACATCACCAGTGGTAATACCAAAAATACTACTCTTCTAGCCAATGACGGATAGCTTTTCTGTCAAGATGCAAGCCAAATTGTAAAATTGGGCGGTGTAAATCAAACAAACCAATCAGAATATCCTTACATCATTGCATTAAAGGCACGATTCACACTGCACCGACAGTCAGACGGAAGTGTTTTGACAAGAAACACTGTCAGGACAGTCGTGAGATCCTATTTGAATACTGCTGCTTCTAACATTACTCAGCAAACCTTTCATTACAATTCCACCAGACGTCTGCCACTTCCCGTGACACTTGAAACCTATCACTATAATGTGTGAAAAATACACATTTCTTAAAACCTAAAAGATGTTAGTAGAATTTTGGCTAACAACAGTATAATAATTAAAAATATTTTTAACGTTAACCGATATTATACATTTGAGCATATTCACAAAGATATTTTAAAATCTTTACTGTTTTATCTGCTTTTAAAGTGAACAAAAAAAAGGTTCGCAATCCATCTGTAACGTTCAGGCAAGGACAAAGTGTGAATCCAATAACAAGCATTATTAAGGATAAAAGGTAATAGACAGCTAACAGCAAACACACATTAAGGACTGAACACAGGCGCTGTGTCCGAAATCTCCACTCAAACCACTACTCCCTACCCCCTACATAGTAGAGCACTATATAGTGAGCTCACCAACATAACAGAAACACCCCTTTCGGACACAACTCGATCGTCTCTCTGCGGCGTTGATTACATCATCTGTCAGCTGGTGCCGAGCCGGCTCTGAGCTAAATTGATTTTTTAAAATAAATACATTACATTATATTGAGCTTATTTCTCTAAAATTTAAAAACTAAAAGTCATTTCATGCCGTTTCTGTTATAATGCGCTACACACGTGATTATAACTTATTTTTACGATCAGCGCAATGCATGATGGTATGTAGGGCTTGGGTTAGTGACCATCGGTTGTACACTACTTTTCAAAATGCATTCTGGGATACATTGAGTGGACTATATAGGGTATAATAATATACATTCGGACAGCACTATAAAATGGCGAGCTCACTATATAGTGAGTAGTGGGTGATTTCAGACACAGCAAGTGATAAAATCCAGAGGATCAGATGAGTGAAACAAGACACAGCTGGGCAAATTAACTAAGAACACAGGTGGTAAACGTGAACACAAACGAGGAGCGGGAAAACTGGAACAGGACTGAACCAAATACACAATAATGGGGGGAACACAAGACAGAGAAGAACAAGACATGAACCCACACCATCTCACTTAAAGGGATACTCCACTTTTTTTGGAAACTCCCCCAGAGGTAAACAGTTGAGTTTTACCGTTTTCGAATCCATTCAGCCGATTTTCTGATATTTAGAAGAATATCAGTAACAAGATAGTATCTGGTCTCATTGACTTCCATAGTGTTTTTTTTTTCCTACTATGGAAGTCAATGAGACCAGAAACGGTCTGGTTACGGATATTCTACAAAATATCAGAAAATCAGCTCACTACATTCAAAAACAGTAAAACTCAACTGTTTAACTCTGAGGGAGTCATAAAATGAGCTTATTTCCCCAAAAAAAGTGGAGTATCCCTTTAAGTAATATGAAACTAATATAGACAAAAATCTATGGCGGGACTTTTATCCGGTGAGAATCGATTGGATCGCGTCCGTCTGTATGATGAGCGATTGGAGGGGAGGGGTTGTTGATAATAGGACAGTGGTTTCGGTGACAAAGTAAGTTTTCACATATCGCAAGATTATAAAACTTTCTTAACAAAAAAAAATCTTGAAAAGCAGGTGCCAAATTATACATCTTCAGGCTGCATCTTAATAAAATCTACATCTTAATAACAAAAGGAATAGTTCACCCACACCAAAAAAATCAAATCTGCAAATCTAAATTGCAGTGTGCTTCTCATGCAAACCGCATGGCTTTCAGAAGATTGCGTGTGTAATGATGCTATGTTAATGATCTGGAGCTTGAGTTGTGATCAGTGTATACTTTTCTGTCTTACTTTTGTGTTCAACAAACTACATAACAACATATGGGTTTACAACAACAAGAGAGTAAATTATGACAGAATTTTTGACTTTATCAGACAGTTACCAACATAAACCATTTCCATTTTACCAGTCTATGGCTGTTCATAGTTTAAATCTCCCTAAAGAAGTTGTTTACCTTGGACTTCATGAACTTGGTGTGGTTTTTGTACACCTCCATCTGTTTGATCTCCTCTTCTCGATCCTCCGTGTTCAGCAATCCATTCGCCTTCAACATCTGGATCTCATCCTCCAGGTCCCGAATGTTGCGTTCCAAGGATGCGATTTTGGTGTCCTGGATAAACAATTTAGTGGAAAAATTAGCGCCGTTGTGCTCCATCATCTTAAGCTAGTATGACAACTTTGGTGCGATTCTACGGATCGAAGCATGCCAAACCCAGTTCCCAACAGACAGGCGGGATCACAACACGAGGAAGACAGGGATATGCCAAACTCTAACGTCTTGCAGCATCGCCAGTGAGTTAGCTGCAGTACTGCTGCAAAGCCCAAGCAGAATCGCTCTTTCTCATGCTAATGGATCAGCATGTAATCACCATTTGGTAGTACTGAGCGCACATCCAGCCCGGGCGGAGAGACGCTCTGGGAAGGAGAGAGGCGTGCGTGTGCCTCTGTTGACTGTGAGAGCGAGCGTTGCAGCTCCTTCGGCTTTTTAAATAAATAATACAACGTCTTTGGCATTAGCTGTGGTCCATCTCCCATTCAGACGTGAGAGAACGTTTGCCGTTCCTTCTTACAAGCTCTCTCCGGTAACCCGCCCTTCCTTTTCTCTCTCTCTCTCTCTCTCTCTCTCACTTACCACTCACTCTCTTGTCTTTTTATTTTCACAGACATCAATAGGCACCATTTTCACACGAGGCCTTTTAAAACCAATATCCCATTTCCCATATACTGTACACACCGAGTCGATTCCCTAGATAAATCACGGCTAGGCTTCTCGTCAATGTTTTTTAATGCACAGCCTATTTAAATGTGCAATGGTTTTATTTGTTTTAAGCATATGGATGTAATGCAATACCTTGTGGCTCTATGAAAGATAATATCCATCTTCAGAGCATAAGCAAATAGATCACATTGTTCTCTTTTCGGTCATCCTCTCCCACGCCTGCATTCATGCTCTCTGTGTTGTAAACAACTCCACCTGTTCCCATGGCACCAGAATCAGCATCCCGGCTCAGCCAATAGGGCGAGAGAACACTACCGGTGATGCTAAAGGTTAAAAGAGCAATGGAAACCAGTACAGGTGGAGCAGCTTTTGCAGTTTTTGGGTGAGGGAAGATACATAAATCGAATTAGCGAAGTTGCACTTTGAATTGGAGTATATCATCAATGCTTACATGTCACATGGATGCAGGGGTGAACTCTGGGTAATATTTAGCTCCAATCAGAGTGGACCTGAGGGGTGTGTGTGCGTGCCTTGCATGAGGTCATGCTTTATTTTTAGAGTGGTGTGTAATGCTTCTGCTGGCAGGAGTTGAAACCCACTTACTGTTTCATTCAGCCATTAACCAGCATGCTGCAGTGGATCTGCTATCAGACATTTCTCTCGTCTTTCTGCTTTATTCTGCTTGCTTTTTCAGTCTATTGTTCTTCCAGAGCAGTCAGAACATGTCATAATGAACTTCAAATAATGACAAGTCTTATATACTCACCAAGGATGCATTTATTTTCTCAAAAATATATTAAAACAGTATTATTGTAAAAAATATTATTATTATAAAAATATATATAGAATAATATAAAATAAGGGCTGTAAAGCGATTAATTGCATTCAAAATAAAAGTTTGTGTTTACATAATATAAGTGTGTGTGGTGTGTAGAATTTGTATATAAATACACACACATGCATGTATATATTTAAGAAAAATGTGTTCTCAGTATATCAAATATTTATAATTATATATAATATTAATTATGTCTAAATATATATAAAGTATATACATGCAAATACTTCTTAAATATATGCATGCATGTATGTGTATTTATATATACAAAATAATTTTACACACTACACACACATATATTACGTAAACACAAACTTTTATTTTGGATGCGATTAATCACGATTAATCATTTCACAGCCCTAATATATATATATATATATATATATATATATATATATATATATATAGATTTTTTTTTTTTTTTATGTCATTTATAAAGTAGTGCTGCTTAATATTCTAAATGGTGATTCATAATTTTCCAGGACCAGCATTTAATCTTTCATAACACTAGAAATATCTTTCCTGTCACTTGTGATCAATTTAACACCCTTTCTTATGCACCCTTGATGATTAAAAGTCTATGTGTATGAAAAAAGCAGTGTATGAAAGCATTGGCAGATCTTTACCTTCATCTCTATGATAGTCTGAAGAGCTTTAGTTTTTCCAGGGTCTGGGTGATGCTGGTTTCTGCGATGAAGCTCCTGAGAAAAAACCTGAACATTAAATTAAATATAATTGCAAACACAAAAAAACACAAAAATAGAAATACCTCAGCTGTCACCCTTTATAAAAATATGGTGTGAGGTTAAAATTCGTTATTTACTGTAGTAGTAGCCCTAACTCTGACCCAACCCAATGTCACTGTCAATCCAGGAACATCTGATGATCACATTGTGCATTCTGATCGTATTCACTTTTTCACATTTGTATACTTTCATCTTTTTAACACTTTTTAGTCACGTGACTGGCGCAGAGAGACCTGGAGGGCAAAGCATCCATAGACCTGAATCAAAGGTCTCTCTTTTCCATCTCAAAAAAAGAACAAAATATGTGTAGAAAATGCACGTTTTAGGCACGTGTGATCCATAAACAGCATCTGCTGTGGTATTTTAATCACTAAAAACACCGGGGACATACTATGCATCATCAATAAGGTGGATACTGAATTTGGTCGCTTAATATCAATGTCTTACTATATTAGTATGCACACGCGGCGTTACCATTGGGCCTGGGGCCACCCATTTTAGGTCCCGCCCATTTTGACCCAGGTGAGAGATTATCATTCTAGCAGTTCATCCAATAAGAAGCCCGGAGAAAGCTTTAAGTGAAAGCTTCTCAGCCAATCAGCGGCTTCTACCCCAAGTCTGGACTGTTAGATATCCATATAAGGCTAGATATCCCGTCCGTGCTGCTGGCCAATGGAGGTCGACGTCAGCGCCTGGCGGCCATCTTGTCACAGGCAGCTCGCTCACTCGTTACATTGTTTTAATGGTGCATGTACTTTTTAAATAACAGCAACTTGCTCAATTTTCTACCGATATTCAAACGGTCTGGTTTGTTATAAGCATCAGAGATGTAGTTATGACACTGCATACTTATGAATATGAATGTGTACATATGAATAATATGTGTGTAAATAAATAATCATCCAGAATTATAGCCACGTTGATAATGTTTGTAAGAAACCAAACCGTTAGTAAATCCGTCAAGATTTCAACGAGATAAGAGTATTTGTGTTCGTGCTGATCACCCACCTAACATCAGCTAACACAGAGCCCGCCAGAAAGCCTGCCTGTGACAAGATGGCCGCCGGTGATGATGATAAAGACTCCGCCGTGAGACATCTAGCCTTTATATGGATATCTAAGACTGCTCACAGGCTGCATCGTCACCAGCAAGTGATCCAATGAAATGAATGACAAGCTTTTCAAGCAATTTTAATTTAATTTTACTGGCACAACTAGTGTTAGTATGTAGTACAAACATGATTAAAATGACTGGTGGACTGGTGTTTTGCCCTCCAGGTGAGCATTTCTATAAAGGTCATGTGAAAACTATGAATTCTCTTTGAGCACATAGTGAATGATGAGCATTATCTGTGTGCTGGCATGGATCTGCTCACGTTTTTCTCTTGGGTCCAGATGACTCAGTGACCATATGCTGTAACTGTCTAAGTTGCATCTGACTATCTCTCTGCTTATTACCATGGCAAACCACTTAACCTCAGATTGTTCCGTGGAGACTGTCTCTATTGAAAAATAGTCTCTATTTGAAAATGACTTGAAACGGTTACATCCACTTTCAAAATTAAGTAGAACCTGATACCTCTCTCAGATGGATGTTTTCCTTCTCTTTCTGGTCTAATATCACCTCTAGGTGTCCCAGCTGAGCTTCTGCTTCTGCTATACGCCTGGCTCGCTCTTGTTCCTCCTCATCTGATGCCCTTCCCGAGGCTGAGGGAAGCCCTTTACTCTGCAACATCTCCAAAAGCTTCTTTATGGACTCGTCTCGGGCTCCCAGCGTCTGCTTCTGCGTCTCGATCCTCAGCTCCATCTCTTCCAGGGTCTTCCTCAGGAGGAAGAGCTCTTTGGCCTGACGGTCGTGTTCGGCTTGGAGTCGACGGAAGTTCTCTTCGGTCAGCTCGATGGTGGTGAAGTGATCGCCCCCGCTGCCCCGTGAGCCGCTCTCCTGCTGGAGAAGATGGTTGAGGTCGCGTTGAGTCCTCAGCTCGTCCTGCAAGGCCTGAATGGTCAACTGGAGGTGCTGGAGAAGAAAACAAAAGCAGGAATGAACTCGACATGCTTTGGGATCTTTGGGATTTAGAGAGTAATCAGAGGGTATCCTCAACCAGACCCAAGTTTTGAGATCGAAAACATCAGGTTAGATTTTGAAATAAAGGTTATAAAGACCTCACTGTGAGCCAGAAATCTCCACTTCAGTAACACTAACATACACCAAACTTTACAGTTTTATTCTTTTCAATAGTATGGTTCTAACAAATGAGTTTTTTTCATATATAATTTTCCTGATTTTTAACATTTTAAAAGAGAAAACTGTTGCCTTATTTCAATTACGCATAAAGTTTATTAATGGGTTTCCTCACTTTTTTTTAAGTTAAATCAACTGATCACTTTTTAAAGTGTAAAATAAGACCTTTGGACCAATGAGATTTCTCTATGGGCGGGGCTTGAACTGATTGCCTATACCATTGTACCATCATTTGTGGTTTGTGTTTACAGATAATTTTTAAATTCATAATGACTTTGTCCTTTTTTTATTCCCAATCATGAATGCAGTAAAATGCTGATTACTGAATTTAAAATGCCAAATTTATCAATATCTATATATACAGTAGCCTATATGTCTTAGTAAAGAAATCCAAATGAATGATATGGCAGGAAAACCACAGTGTGGTCTATTCTAGGAGAGGGAAACAAGAAAAGATTAGGTTTCTCCTGAGAGAACACTAACTAATAACTCGTTAAACAAGGTTAATGACAAATGACTGTGCTAGAAATAGTCACAAGATAATGGGGTTTTCTAGTCTATGTGGCACATGTGGTGCCTTTGGCAGAATGAGAGAGTATACGGGTCCAGAACTGGATCAGATAACCCACAATCGCTTCCAGAAATTTAGATCAACACACACCCTTGCACTATCACAAACAGAACACATAATTCCATCAGAAGAACCGGTCCAATCGAGAGTTACAGGCTTTTGGTCAGGATTTTAGGGAAAAAAAACAGCTATTTAAGGCCCGAGTTAGCTTATCTTGGAGGAACATGGAGGAGCAGATAAGGGGAAACGTTCCTTTTTGAGGTTGTCCTTATAAAAATCTGATCCATTTAAAGATGATTAAAATAGCAATTGTGGTCTCAGATCAGTAGCTAGTAGGGATGCACCGATATCATTTTTGTCGTTGCTCTTGAAAGTATGCTTGCCAATGTAATCTATAATGTTTTGCCTTTTTAATTTTTTCTTAAGTTATTTACTATTTTTTTTAATACATGATTTTTTTCACATCAAAAAAATACCATAGAAAATGGTCTTTGAAATTTGATTATTTTATTAACAAAATAAAATAAAAAAATGAATAAAATAATATAAGGGCTTGTTATAAAATAATAAAGTAATAAAATTACAATAGAATATACAAAATTTATATTTAAAAAAAAATTACATTTTTTATAATTTACATTTTAAATATAAAATAATACATTTAATTTGAAAAATTAAATAAAATAGGTAATTACGACAATTTATCTCCCAATCCTGACTTTTTTTTCATGATTGTGCGTCTAAAAGTCAGAATTGTGAGATATAAAGTCAAAACTGCAAGAGAAAAAAAAAATCAAGAATTGTGAATTATAATCCTACAATTGCGAGTTATAAAGTTAGAATTGTGAGACCCAAAAAAAATTCACAATTACCTTTTTTTAATTCTGTGGTGGAAACAAGCTTCCATACCAGCCTAATCAGACCAAAGCAATAATTAATAATCCAAATATGGTTTATACTGATTGTCACCATTATTGTGCATCCCTAGTAGATAAGAACAACAACACTCAAAGAAACCTGTGAGATCTGAATCCAGGGATCAGGTTCAGGGTACAGTCTGGTTTTGATTAAAGATCAGGGACAGGATCAGGTCCCATGTTCTGCGCACGCTAGCGGTGGCGAACATGACAACAAACCTTTGTCCTCCTGGCGTCCATCAGGTGCTGCATGATTGTGGAGTGCAACAGAACAGAAAAAAATGAAACACAGCAGAGTGAGTGCAAAAGGAGATGGACTAAGCAATGATACAAGAAAGAAAAAAACTCATAACATTATTCAAAGGATTCAATTACAAAGAATAATGAGGCATTTTATATTCAGGACACACACAAACACATTGTAAATGGAAACATAACAGAATGGAAAATACAATTAAAGACCATATAGGAAGTCATAAAGTTAATATGAATGATCATTCTGGAAAGAGATTAGATATTAATGAGATAAATGCAGTATGATTTATCTATTTGAGTTATGGCAGTGTAATGCCTGCTTTTGACCAGCAGAGGAAAGGGAAGAGCTGTTTCTGAGACGCACGAGTGAACTGTGAGCTGGCTTGTGCCAGCCTGTCTTAGTTCCAGATCAACGGGCACTCAGTCTTACGTAAGAAATGCCGTTTTGGGCTAGTACACTTCTGCCATTATACATTCTCCTCATATAGAGACAGACACACACTATAAACACATAGAGGACGCATGCAAAATGCATGCAAACTACTACACAAAAAAAACACATATTTGAGACTCAACAGCCACAATGATGATGCATAATATCCAAGTCACATTTGAACCTCAATTCAAAATGTAAATAATGAGAATATATATATGTACATATACAGACACACATTCAAACATATGGCATATAGTTTTTGATTTTTTCCTTCATTGGTCTCAAAGGATTTAAAAATATGTATTAAGCAATCAACATAATATATAATATATATATATATATATATAGAGAGAGAGAGAGAGAGAGAGAGAGAAAATACCAAATTCTAAAATAATTTCACATTTTTTTTGTGCATAAATGACCTATTTTAAATACACATTCATCTTTCCAGAGGTGAAGTATCCCTTTAATGCTGATGGTGAGGAATTACAGTTGCAACATCTCATAATGTGCCTCAGATTGAGAAGAGTATCATGAGAAACGTCCTGGTCGAGGTTTGGGTTGAATGACTAGTTCTTCCAGTGTTTCATCATCGGACTCGCGCTCGGATTGATATGGTAAAATTGGCGGAATTGTTCATTAAATGTGTTTAGTTTAAGGTGTGGGAAGCCTCAGAACAAGAAGAGCTGATGTTGTTATGGCAACGGGCGTTTTTGTTTTCATGGTAGACCAATCACTACAGACTGAGCTGTCTGGCCAATCAGAGCATAGTAGCTCGCGGAAAGGACGGATTTGATCTGACGAGTCGTTTGATAATCAATAAAAATATGGTGATGTGCAAATGAATATTATGAGAAAATAAAACCGTTTTTTAACCTTTGATGCATGTAAACCTGTTGGAGACTCCAAAACAACATTAGGAAACTTTAAAATAGCATAACGTAGCCCGACTGTATATATATATATATATATATATATATATATATATATATATATATTTATATTTATATACATACAGTCGGGCTACGTTATGCTATTTTAAAGTTTCCTAATGTTGTTTTGGAGTCTCCAACAGGTTTACATGCATCAAATTTATATATATATATATATATAAATATTCTTATTCTCTATTCTCTAAATTTCTTATTCCTTTTTTTTAATTCAAAGGTGAGCTATGACATGTTTTAGCCAGGTTTTGTGAGATGAAATTCACTCATCCTTAAAATGTAACTACCAATATAAATGACTATTTGGGCTTTTTGACTCTCTGCTGATAGTCTGCGCTCGTTCCCTCTAAAAGAATCCAATGCAGCTGTAAGGAGTCTTTTGTGTTTACCGCAGGCACATTAGCAAATTAATTCAGACTCCTTAAACAGACACACACACGTTCACGCACGACTGCAAACGCGCACACACAATCAAACATGCTCTCGATTTATCACAGATAAACGTTACGGAAACAGCTTAGATATGCATGACACACGCAAAGACAGAGGGGATAAGAGTTTGGCTAATTCAATTTGTCTACTGAAGAAACTCGCTATTTCTGATGTTTCACTCTTCCCAGATTGTGTTTCCTTCAAATCAGGACGTTTATTGAGGACACGAGGGCCTTCTGTCTACCCGTCTCCTTCCCAATTCCTTATCCTCCCATCCTCCTCTTTCCGTCTCCAATCAATAATCTGTCTTGGCTGGCAAAAAGAATTTGAGGAAACGGTCCAATTATTCCATTTGCATAATTACAACAGTTAGCTAAGGACCACAATCCCATGAGTTGCAAAATGCTGGCCAGAATAAACTCCGTTAGATATATGGTCCCATGCATTTAAAGGGACCATGTTCACCTTTGGAAATGTAAAAGACTTTTCATTTTTGGGTGAACTGTCCCTTTAAGAGCATGAGGTTTGAGTAGAGATAGCTGAGTCATTCAGAAGTGTTCAACTTTCATGTTGTGTGTGTGTGAGCAGCTCTCAGATGCACTGAAGCATAAGCAGGCATGAATATGTATCCCATACGGCAGCGAGTGATAAAGGGAGAGAATATTCCACAGCATCCCGAGGCAGCCCACATCACTTCCTGTCTTTCTCATTACTCATTACCCCCCCACTATCATCACATATTGTATCTCTATGCTCTGTGTTTAAAACGAAAGGAAAATGTTTTAAACGTGTTGCGGATCATGTGACACTGAAGACTGGAGTAATGATGCTGAAAAATCACAGGAATTAATTACATTTTAAAATATATTTAAATAAAAAAAAAAATAAAAAAAATCACATAAATTTTCTAAAACATTAAAAAAAAAAACTTACTGGCCCCAGACTTTTGAAAAGTAGTGTAAATAAAAAAATATAATAAACACATGTTTCATGTTTTATGGGGACTTTCCCCATAAAACTGTATATTCTAGACATCCCCTATACAGTCCTAACCCCTAAACCTACAGCCCGTTCTCATCCCAAGGCGTCATGTACGAAGCTTTTGCCAAAGCGTAGACATCCAACGCACATGGCACCCTATAGCGTCAATATGAGACGCAGATATATATATATATATATATGGGCCAGAAGGCGCCTCCTAGTGGTCTAACCCTAAACCTACCCCAAACCTAAACCTACCATAACCGAAGAGTGTTGCTAAAGGGTGCCATGTGCGTTGGATGTCTACGCTTTGGCAAAAGCGTAGTACACTGTAAAAAATATTGTTGGTTTAATTTAAAAAATGAAGTAACCTGGCTACCTTATAATTTTAAGTTCATTGAACTGGAAAAATTGAGTTAATACAATGAGGGAGATTGATTTAATCATCAGAAACACAAAATAATAAGTTATCTGAACTAAATAAATTATTTAAGTTGATTTGACAAAAGAAAAAATGTTGTGATATTGTTGGTTTAGCTTAAAAAATGGCTGCCTTAAAATTTTAAGTTCATTGAAATGGGAAAAATTGAGTGAATACAATGAAGGGCATTGATTTAATCATTAAAAACTCAAAATATTATGTTATCTGAACCACATAAATAATTTAAGTTGATTTGACAAAAGAAAAAATGTTGTGATTACAAATCATGAAGGTATGTTACAGTGCATATGATGCGTTGAAACCTACCCATCACAGAACACATTCTGCATTTTTACACTTTAATATTCACTTTATATGATGTATAAGAGATTTTCAAAAAATGTCCCCACAAGGACAAGGATTTCAGATATTGCCATCTCTGTGGGGTATAACGATAATGTAGGGTTTACCAGAATTACACATAAACATAACACACACACACTCACGCATGACAGACGCTTCATCTTTCAGCACAACATCCATCAGCTCATTCCAAATGTGTACAAATATTTTCCTCTATCTGTCAACCTCAAACTGAATGATTACACAGAAAGCAAAAACAACAACCGGAACAAAAAAATAGCATTAAAGTGATCAATTTTGCAGCCCTCCAACCCCATCATTCAACATAATGGTATAAGTTACTGAATACTGGCTATAATACTGAATATTATGAAAACGTAGGTGTTGTTAACACGTACATTATCGCAACTATATTGTGACAATTAAACAACATTTTTGAATTTTGAAATGCACTTAATAATTCACAAAAAGACCAGTATTGTGTATAAAGAGATAAAAATCCATTTCAAATTGCATGTTCATTCTAAAACTTAATTATCTAGATCAGGGGTTTTCGAAGTGGGGTCCGTGGAAATGTTTAGTGTAATGTTAAAAAAACAACAACAAAAACAAAGAGGAGGTCCTAGGTATTTAAATGATTGAAACCCTCTCTGATCTAGATGGATTTAGTTCATTTTGTGATTGGACAACAATTACTAAGTTTTCATGTGCATTAATAATGTGATTCCTTCCAATAATCAGAGTAAGGACTTAATCGCAGTAAGACATTTGCATGACAAGCAAACGTCTTCTCTCTTGTTTACGTGTTATTTTAGTTGTTCTGATTATACTCTAAGAGAATTATTTTCACTGTCTTTATTCGTATAACCCATGCACATGCAGCACAAATGTTATTCGCCAAGCTCTTCCACATTTGCTTGCCGTTGGTATCCGGCCTCTGTCCTTTTACTCCATTTTGATATTTTTGACCATATTGCACTTCATGTCGCTGTCCGCGTGAACACACGTGCATTTTGGTCAGAGTTGAATACGTGATTAAAGTGTTTAAATAACTACTTGTTGTGATTAAAATCAGCATATGCCAAGTTTTAAGTTTTTATGAGCTTAATCTCCTCAATTTGATTAAAACAAGTTCAATAGCAACATTGGCTAAACCTCCTTATAATCTCATTATGAGGGTGCATGAGAGAAAGAAATATTTCATATGTGGAAAGCCACTACACATCTCAGGGATTATCATCGCTGCATGCTAGGACACAACAAACACACACACACACACACACAAGATCAATAACCACAATCTGTGCTGAGCAACTGTCTGTAGTTAATGTTCTTCTCCACAATCACCCCCCGCACACACACACACATATTTATTTATAGTCTCGTTATTCACAAAAACAGTGGCTAGAAA